AAATTGGAGGGATCTTGTTTATTGCTTTGAGGATATACAGTGACTATACTGGATCACAAAGATCTTATAATACTCAAATTTTGATTGGCTGTTCAAAAGGAAAGGTGGAAATGGCAAAATTTTGTTTCTTTCTTCTCCTTTGTCAAGATAATTTATAAATTAATCTATAGTTTTTCGGGTAAAGTGCATAAATCGTCGTTCGTTTATAAAACGTTTGTTATATTAAATTATTTGAATATTAAAAATTATAAAATAATTTTTTTATTATATAATATTATTTTTTTGAGTTTTTTAATTATTAAAAATCATAAAAAATGGTTAATTAACTATTTATTTGTTCTAAATTCGTTAGTTTTTGTTTAAATATAAATGATCTTCTCAATTACACATTAATCTACTCACTAGGATATGATAAAATCGATGTTTATTGACAATGCAGTTGCTTTTAAGTATTGGTTCAACAATATAATGTTTTCAAGTATTGACTCAACAACATAATGCAAACATAAATTCAATATATAAAATACATCTAAAACAGTTATATGATAAGATTTTATCATATCTCAGTGAACATGTTAACATTCAGCTAAAACGATCACCAGTTTTTTTAACTGAAAAAGATAAAATTTGAACATATAAATAGTCGGATGATTAATTTATAACATTTAATAATAAAAAGATTCAACAAAGGAGTGTCTTATAGTGAAAGAGTCATTTTGTAACTTTAAATAGTCAATATACTCAATACAAAAATTAATAGAGTTATAAATCATTAGTTTGGCTTAATGAATAATTCGATTCATAAAATATACATTTTGTTCTTAATTTGGTAACATATATTTTATTATTACATTTTAGTACCCCCAAAGAATGACTTCATTATAGATTTAACCTAAAAATTTAACTACATTAAAAAAAATCAACCAACAAAAAATAACATGCTACATCTATCATTGGAGATGGACACAAATTGGAGAGAGTTGGTCGGATTTTTGTTTAATCTGACCCAATTCGCCTTTTGAAGTAAAATACATATTTGAACTAATACAAATATATATAATATGTATACATATATTAATTTTTATTCAATAAAATATGAATCTAATTAAAAATATATATAAGAGATTTTTTTATTATAAATATATTCAAATATATAAAGAATAAATACATTATTATTTCAATTTGAATCAAATATTTTTGTTTTAATTTTTTTTAATGAAATAAGAAGAAACAGTAAGTTACTTCAAGCTAATTTTCATGTTGCCTGCAATCGAGAACCTTCTAGGCATACACCATAGCAGCATCCCCCAGTGGGTTCTGGAAATACCGAACTCCAAGCTGCATCGATCTAGCCATTTTAGCTAAATTATCTGCTAGCATATTGCATCGTCGAGGAACATGATTAAAATTAATCGTCCAATCCCTGCTAACCAAATCCGTGATGTGTGGCAGCAATGATGAAGCTCTCTATGCATAGCTTTCCTCCTTCAATATGTCGATTGCCTCTTGACAGTCCGTTTCAACAACTACTTTACGAAATTGCAAATCTCAAGCTAATTTAAGGCTTTCCAAAATTCCCCATAATTTTGCATCAAGAACTGAGCACCCGTCTATGTACTTCACATAACCCACAATTCATTCGCCGTCAGCATCTCGGAACACCCCGTCACAAAACGTTGTGCCTAACCTGTTCGATCGTGCACCATCCGTATTCAATTTAAGCCACCCCAGCTAGTATTTACCATTAACTCATATGCTGATTCGGTAACAAACTTTGGACCTTTCTTTACGTAGAGTATAGCTGGCTTGTAATTAGCTCATTTATCAACTTCTTGTTACAATTGAGAATGCCTTTCTCTGCGATAAACTTCTCGTCAAAGAGTATCCCATTACATCGCGCCCATAAATTCCAAATAGCACCAAACTGTATATCCCAATTCTCCTCATTCCTTGGAAAATAATTCAAAGATATAATGTTACGATGTATCCAAGAGAATAAGTCCATATTCATAAACTCCTCAAGGCGCTACAATTTAATGACTTTCTTCCACGTAGCCTTCGCCACCGGGCACTCTCTCAGAACGGGCGATGTCGATTCCAGCACAGCACCGCACCGCACCGCACAATGCACAACCCATATTTGTCGTGAGGTGTCTTCGAGCTCTCTCTTCATTCGATAGTAGTCATTCTTTCCAAACCAGCCATGAAAGCATCATAATTCGAGGGAGACCTTTATACTTATTTAAGAATTCCCAAGAAATTATATCATGATCGGCTAATGTATTCACACATCTACGATACGCACTTTTGGTCGTAAAGCGTCGGTTATTCTCCCATCGCTAGCCTGGTTTATCCTCACCACCATTTGAGATCGGCGGAGGAACTGCTGCAATGTGAGAAAGAGCTATTGTCGAAAGCAGCGCAGCCATGGCGCCCCACTTCATCTCACCGTCCATTCTCACCCAACCGACAACCCTCGAGCCAGCCGCCACAACATTTCCGTTTGATATAGCAGCATTACATAACGGCCCGAATACACCTAGCCAATTATTCATCCAGAAATCAACCATTGATCCGTTCCCTATTCCCTCTTTAATATTGTCCCTTATTGAACTCGGGAATTTCCAAAGACGAGAGCACCCATGCTTACAAATTGAGACCGGGGAAATTGTTCTTACTTTATACTTTGCATGCAGAATTCTAACCCATAGCTACTCTAGTTCAGTTATGATCTTATAACCAATCTTCGTGATAAGTACCTCGTTTTGACATGCTAAATGTCGTAATACAATCCCTCCATGCGATAATTACATTGCCTGGTCTCAATCTGCGCGTCTGTTCATCACAAGTCGCAAGAAACAACAATATCTCTCTGATAATATGCCGGTTCCGACCCCTCTGATCCCTAATACGACACTTGGCTCATCGAGAACACCACAATTATGTCCTGGCTCCTCAACTCTATACTGCCTAACATTAGCGCGAACTTCATGCTCTACACCACCGCCTCGGAAATCTAGAACGCTGCCAGGGAGACATACTCCAATCAGTAAAACTTGTCCGCTATGTTTGCCATTGAATGCCGGATCAACGACTTGAAGTAGGGCGATCTCACTATTACGAAATACTTCACTCAGCTGTCTCGCTTACGGCAGCAAATTGATTTGTTTGATCCTCCCGCTTGGCAAACCAATGCAGATGCCAAACTCTACAAAGGGCTGCTTGAAAGACGACGTATTTTTCAATTCCTGTCGGGGCTGTCCGTCTCTCTTAATGATGTGCGTGGCCAGATTCTAGGCATCATGCCTCTTCTGTCTCTTCACGATTTGTTTTCTAAAGTTCGCCGCGAAGAAAGTCGCTGCTCTCTGATGCTTCCGCCATCCATTGAAAGTTCTTCCATGAATACCCATTCATCTGGTGACACCTGTGTCAAGAATGGTCGTCCCTGGTGCGATCACTGCCGGAAACCTGGTCTAATTTCCAACTTAAGTAGTATCGGTACTACAAACACAGTACTGATACCTCTATACTAGTAGTATCGATACCATACCACGGTATCGATACCCATTCTAAATTCTGTAATTTCATTACAAGAAATGGTACCGATACCTCCCCATTGGTATCGATACCCATGGTACCGATACTATTACTTCAGTATCAATACCCCATGAATATTTATCCTACTTTTGCCTTATGGTATCGATATTGTTCATGCAATATCGATACCCTACGCATAATTATCACATATTTTACCTTGTAGTATTGGAATTTTCTCAACCGGTACCGATACTATTAGCCCAGAATATGCTTCACTAACCCGAAAGTTTACCAAAGTTTACTTCAACCTCTCATTGTGAACTCCTTTCACTACTAGAAAAAACCCCTTTAATGACGCGCATTGCGCGTCATCTATGGGTGCGGATGACACACAAATGCCTGTCGTTGAAGTCACCGACATGAATTTTTGATGACGCGCAATTGTGTGTCATAAATCTATGACGTGCATTGAGCGTCATTGAAGCCCCCACCATAAATGAAGATGACACACATTTGTGTGTCATAAATTTATGACACGCATGTATGACTTACATTGCGCGTCATTGAAGCCCCCATCATAAATGAAGATGACACATATTCGTGTGTCGTGATTGTATTTCGTAAATTATATATATATATATATTGTAGATTGACAAATAATCAAACTAAATCACATTTAATGCCTCATAATACTAAATATATATATCATATTATATATAAACAATCCATTTGCATACAATATATTCACATTAAGTTATCAAAAATATTGTAATCATATGTCGATACAAAATATCACGTCATAATAAAGTTCTACTAATATGCCCTCTCCATCCAGGAGTGTACACAAGAAATCATCATCAAGTTCTACTAAAGGGGAGTCTTGTGAAAAATCAAAAGTGGAGTACTTCTTTCACCTTTACCATAATGCTCCTCCAAATGTGCAAATTATCGTTTGAATCGCTCAACGCCACTATTTGATCAAAAAAGAAAAAGAATACAATTATTTGCAATGCTAAAAGCAAATGTTATCAAGTGGAATTTAGAATTTCCAGACCCCCACCCCCTATATTTCGCTTAAGCACTACATAACTTGAAATGAGGATTCGATCTACAAAACCACTCAAAAAATATTACTTTACTAAGCTGTATCTAAACTGTATAAGGACAATCTTGGACATCATATTAATAAATAAGAGGATTTTTTAAAGGATATTAAGCAACAAAAGTTAAGATCTTGAAAGGTACATGAAGTTGGTCTAATCCCCACCGCGGAGGTACTCCTGCAGCATCTGGGGATGATACTCTAATATATGTTAGGCCACAAATTGGTTAAGCTATATGATAAATAGAAACCAGATAATACCAAAGCAACAAATGTGGAGTACCTCTCTATAAATCAGGTCTCTAACATCATCTTTTGCCAATTTCCTTCTCTCAAACTCAAATTCTAACTTCAAAATAGTTTAAGTGGATGGTTCACGATCCACATTTGCTAAACCATAAAAGTATGGATCAGCTAATGCCTGCCAGCGTAGAACAACACCATTAGGAATATTAGAAGCTTGTAAGTCATGATCTAACTGTCAAATTTATCATTTGTAGTTGATTTAAGGCCAATAATGAGAATAATTATCATATCTTGATGAAATGATGCTGGCAAAACATCAAATCAAAATTTGTAGCATTCAAGATCACCCATTCATGGATTTCAATTCTATAGGAAGCATATCCTTTATGTTTTCAGAATATAAAAGAATGTTAGCAAGAAACCCCATTTTTCTATAAATTTCAGGGTTATCTATCGTATACATACCTTGTTTCCTTTTTAGTGCTTTTGAAAGAAAAAATTAAATACTAGGAATTCTCAATCTTACTTCTTTAGTTGTGGGACGATCTTTTGGATTAAATGCAAGTAAGCGCTCAAGTAGGCGAATAGCCCCGAGATCCATATTAGGGAACTTCTGTGAGAAAGGAACTGATGGCTAAATATTCAAGATAACAAAGCATGATATAAAACCATATCTGAATACAGATGGAACTAATGAAAAGCGCATAATATTTTTCTTTAGCACCTAGACTTTGCTAATACGATCAATTCCATGAGCTTATAAAACATGCATAACAAAAAAAGAGATAGTTCTAGTAAAACCATAGCTTGATATGGAAACAACAATTTAAAGAGAAAGACGCTCATGAACCATAACAGCATATCCAAATGTCATATTCGAGGCATTACTTTTCAACCCTAACAAAGCAATGTGCACAAATAACACCCATAAAGAACAAAATTGAAACATGGGTATAGGTTAACCGCTAAAGCCTTGAGTACATGCTCAAGTGCTATTGTTCGTTTATCCTCTCTGTTACAAACTTTATTGGACTCTGATGAAATAAGATTAATGAACTCTGTAAGAGGATTAAAGTTTACATTAGTTACAAAAAAAAGCTAATACTATCATAACATTATGGTTAGAGACATTAGAATTCCAACGATATGAGAGAAGTGAATATAAATGGTCAATCTACTCGCCAAACAACATTCTAACATGAAAAAGTTTTACACCTATATCTTCAATGACAACAAATAGTAGTATCATAACCAAATAAGATTACCCATTATATGAAAATCTGGAATCAGGTTTTAAAGCCACATTAACAATATGAAATAGCAGATACCATGTTCCTCTTCTATACTTATTTGAAAAAAGATTTGATTTTCATGCAATAATAAGAGGCTTTCCGATATGCCAAGACAGTAGCAGGTACCTGAATGCTGTGCACTTCCAAAAACCTGCAAGACAGGCCCTGACAGGAGATCTACAGGTGTTCTACATTTTGAATCTTCCAATGTAATAGAAGCACCAGACCGGAGAAGAACACTCGCTACAGCAAGATGATCGAAATGCAGAGCCCTATGAAGGCTACTCCACCCAGATTCTCTGTCCTGGAACAAGGATTACGAAGAGTCAAAAAAAGTGGCTTGAAGCTAATTGCACCATCATACATCTGACATCTCTACGACTTCATGATGTTTAAAACAAGATCATAGATGTTCTAAAGCAGGATACTTGATAGACATCCACAACGAACTTGAAAACATTTGATCAACAAAAGGATAAGAATTACACACCTTAGCATCAGGATCAGCACCAGAAGCTAGAAGCCTTCGAATAATTGGAATGTTGTTTCTCCAAGTGACAATGTGAAGAGGAGTCAGACCCAAACTATTCCTCGAATTGATATTACTTCCATTCTTCTTCAGTAGCGCCAATGCATAATCTATATCAGGCAAGGACCCTTCTCCCACAGCATGCCACAAATCTTTATATGAGGCACCAGATGAGCCTTTTCGCATGGATTTTTGGAGGCTCTGCTTATGTCCTTGAGGTGAATTTAACATATCCACAACACTTTAAATCCAGAGATCACTATAAATACTCCTAAAAGTTATTGAAAATTCAAGTTTTGAAGTGACAGTCCCTCCAACAGATTACGACAAGAGCCAAAGATTCTCCAAATGTCTATAAAGAAGTTAGCAAAAGGCAAGAGGTAATAATTTCCTAGCTACTTTATTCCATCTAGTCTATATTTTAACAAGAAATCAAAAAGCTCTAGATTCTAGAATCTAGTTCCATTTATGTGGAGAGTTTGTCAATAACACAACATATCATCCCACCATCATCTTTGATGTAGTTACAAACATATCTCCTACAAAAAGGCGAACCGATGTGCTGCATTCAAAACTCGTTGTGTCAGCATAAAATACCCTGTAGAGGAAATATGATAACAAAAGAAAAATGAATGATCAACATTAAAAACAACTCAATCACTGGATAGCCAACCAAAATGGAAAATGAAATAAATTCATATGCTAAGAGCCAAAAGGGCAAAAACTGTGTCGGAATTAGAGATAGAGAAGATGAAGAAGACAATGGTTGTAGACTGATTCATTTCTAGTAAATTTTAATGGTTGATCTAAATAAAGAACACAAGCAAAACCTCTAGAAAAAAACCAAAATGCAAACTATGAAGCAATAGAAAAAGAGAATAACAGATCAACCATAGTAAACTCCATTTCCAGATCCAAAATTACATGAAATTAACAAAACCCTTCATTAGAAATCAAACCAACAAATTAAAACTTCACATAAAAAACAGTAGCTTACCAAATCAATCAATAAAAAAAACCAAAAACACAACACCAAGAAGAAAAAGGAAATACCCATTGTAAAATTCTACATAAATTTCACAAAAATAACACAGAAATGCAGAAAAGACAACATTTTTCTATTAGAAGGATCAAATCTTTTAAAGCTAACCTGAAAGAGAAATTCCCCCCTGAGAAATCGTTGGATGTTAGAAGAAGAGAAATTTGAACAAAAATTAAGAAAGGGAGGAAGCTCGCGGGGGCAACAGACTCACCGAGTTACTAAGTAAGTACGAGGGGAATTTTTTCCACAGATGAAAATAAACGCCAAAAAGAGTGAAGCGATTTGTGATCTGAGTCGAGTGGGGAATGAACACGAAGAAAGACATCGATATATGGAGTTAACAGAGATCATTGGCGCTTCACGATAACAGAGGGGGGAAGCCAGTGGACTGATACAAAGAGAAAAAAGGGGAAGCATGAAGCGGGAAAGGATGAAAATAATGGGGGAAATTAAAAGACGGCTTTTACAGATGACACACAATTAAAAGTGTACTCCGTGTTTTTGTAAATTTTTTGGATTATGACTATTAAATATGACACACATTATTGTAAGTCATAAATCGTTCAAATTTTAAAAAACATGACATTTTTTATGATACATATTTTTTGCAAGTCATAAATTAGCGTGTGTCATAGTTCTTGTGTCATTAAAGGTATATTTTCTTGTAGTGTTTCATACCATTAAATTTAACTATACTTACTCATACCATCTTATATCCATATAACACACTATCATTTTCAATATCTCCTTATAATTTTTGAAACTAAAAATCTTACCGAATTTCCAACATATTCTTAATTCACTTCTATTACTTCTAACTGCTTAATTAGATCATTGACAAGTCAAATTCAACTTCAAAATCCATTTATTCCTTCTATTTCAATAATTCACTCAAAAACTCATTTTACTTAATCTCTCATAACTTGTAAATCTTTGTGTTTTAAGCCACTTTAAGCTTCCCTTAAGGTTTCTTATCACTTTAAGAATCAAAATCAACTTTAAAATGAAACAATTACTCAAATTAATACCAACTCACCTTATAACTGAAGGCACAAGAGGAAGAAGATAACCAAGTCTCAAGACTTTTATTTTCCTTTAATCCCATTTTCATGTGTTAATATCGTTTATAAAGGGAAAATTAAAATCCTTCCTTTGAAAAGACCAATTACCCTTACTTCATTCAATATTTACTAAACAATCGTTGACAAAATATTCCCAATTAAGTCCATGTACTTTTTAATTTTTCAAAATTAGACCTCAAAGTTTCATAACTTACATTTTAGTCACTGGCCCTGATTTTGGTATGTTACAAATCTCCCCTCATTTAAAGAAAATTCATCCTCGAATTTTTACTGCACAAAGAGATGGTTACTATTTATACGCATCTTATTCGTATTCCCATGTTGCTTCCACTATCTTATGTTTCTTCCACAAAATTTAACCAACGAAATTATTACATTCTTTAACTACTTAACTTCATATGTCAAAATTTGCACCGATTTTTTCTCGTTGATCAAATCAGATTAAACTTCTATTTCTTCTAATGCTATAATGTGAAAAAGAGTTTGTTCAATATTTCTTCCTTTCCAAATCTGCAGAAGAGTTTGATTAACTATCATATATTTAGGATGATCTTAGTTAATTTTTACTCTTTCTTCAACTTCTTTAATCCAATCCGTCTGTACAAAATCTCAATATTTTCATTCAAACCGACTTATTGGTATACAACATTTCTTTTATACCAAATTTCACTTAAATCTATCTTGATACCTTTCATAATTTGCTTACATACTACTTTTATCTTTAATTATTGAATCAAAGAGAAATATAATCATTATCTCTTAGACCACACTTACATGGCTAAGAAACACAACCTTAAACAAATATATGTCACACTTAGCTAACTTCTTCTGGCATTTTTCTTCTGATCTTTTAAATTCAATTTCACTCAACTTACATAACCTTTGTAATACCAAAATAATCTATTTAACTAACTATTTGTCTATACATGGATACAAATGTTATAGCGAATTCAAATTTCTGAGACCTTATTCAAAGGTTTCCATAACTTTAAGGTAACCTCAATCCTTCATCAGATATAGTCAAAATATATACTTCACAACATCAAACAATCTTTTCGTATTACGTTATGTACTTTTCCAAGGAACCCTCACCTCAATATTAAACTTATAATCTCCACTTTCATATAAACCCTTGTTATACTTGATTCTTTAAACTTCATCCTTTAATGTACTTATATACTTACTTCTTCACACTTCAAAATCTTCTTACCATGTAGGCCATATCTCTTCTGCATATTCTTTTACCATCACTTATACTCAGCTCTGAATACCAATCTTTTATCACATATTATTAATCTTAATAACCAATATTACTTATACAAAATCTCATTCTTTATCATTTCTTATACTTATAATTTCTCCACTTAATTCACCAAGTATCAAATCCAAATAATCACTTGATCCATTTTAAATACTTCTTCCATTACCTCCTTAACTTCCTTCCAATATACAAATCCTTATTTCTCTGACTACCTTACATCTACATGACCAATATACACAACTATAAACAAATCCTCGTCATACTTGGTTAGGTTAATTTAACATTATATTATAATCTTTTAACTCTATTACACTTACTAGCACATATACTCATTAATCAACACCAACTCCTTCAATCTAGAGTGCAAATCCTCATCAAACCAATCATATACCCCTTTTTAGTCGGAATAACTCACTAGCAATTTACTCAACCTATTGAACTATCTATCTATCTATCTATCTATCTATCTATCTATCTATCTATCTATCTATCTATCTATCTATCTATCTATCTATCTATCTATCTATCTATCTATCTATCTATCTATCTATCTATCTATCTATCTATCTATCTATCTATCTATCTATCTATCTATCTATCTATCTATCTATCTATCTATCTATCTATCTATCTATCTATCTATCTATCTATCTATCTATCTATCTATCTATCTATCTATCTATCTATCTATCTATCTATCTATCTATCTATATCTATCTATCTATCTATCTATCTATCTATCTATCTATCTATCTATCTATCTATCTATCTATCTATCTATCTATCTATCTATCTATCTATCTATCTATCTATCTATCTATCTATCTATCTATCTATCTATCTATCTATCTATCTATCTATCTATCTATCTATCTATCTATCTATCTATCTATCTATCTATCTATCTATCTATCTATCTATCTATCTATCTATCTATCTATATCTATCTATCTATCTATCTATCTATCTATCTATCTATCTATCTATCTATCTATCTATCTATCTATCTATCTATCTATCTATCTATCTATCTATCTATCTATCTATCTATCTATCTATCTATCTATCTATCTATCTATCTATCTATCTATCTCTATCTATCTATCTATCTATCTATCTATCTATCTATATCTATCTATCTATCTATCTATCTATCTATCTATCTATCTATCTATCTATCTATCTATCTATCTATCTATCTATCTATCTATCTATCTATCTATCTATCTATCTATCTCTATCTATCTATCTATCTATCTATCTATCTATCTATCTATCTATCTATCTATCTATCTATCTATCTATCTATCTATCTATCTATCTATCTATCTATCTATCTATCTATCTATCTATCTATCTATCTATCTATCTATCTATCTATCTATCTATCTATCTATCTATCTATCTATCTATCTATCTATCTATCTATCTATCTATCTATCTATCTATCTATCTATCTATCTATCTATCTATCTATCTATCTATCTATCTATCTATCTATCTCTATCTATCTATCTATCTATCTATCTATCTATCTATCTATCTATCTATCTATCTATCTATCTATCTATCTATCTATCTATCTATCTATCTATCTATATCTATCTATCTATCTATCTATCTATCTATCTATCTATCTATCTATCTATCTATCTATCTATCTATCTATCTATCTATCTATCTATCTATCTATCTATCTATCTATCTATCTATCTATCTATCTATCTCTATCTATCTATCTATCTATCTATCTATCTATCTATCTATCTATCTATCTATCTATCTATCTATCTATCTATCT